ATGACTGAGATTATTCGCCAGCAGAAAAGCAAAGTCAGCTTCGCTGTCGATGCAAAAAGAATCCAAGGAAAAAAATAAACCAACCAACAAACCTTTTCTGAGCTGTTTTTTTTTTCTGTTAATCTTTCTGTTCATGTTATCAGTAAAACATCTAAAGGTGATCGTCTCTCCTTCCAACTGGCTGATCATTGGAGTTGGATCTCCAGATTTTATCGGAGGTACGGCTGAATGTAGATGCTAGTCTGTAAGATTTTTTAATCATATTCTTTTCATGTTGGACTATTTAATATCCTGAAACAGCTGCTTCATGTCTGATTATTACATTCATCTCTATTTCCCATTTCCCCTTCATGTCTGTATGGCTTCCTTTATAAATATGGATGTAGAAGTTATAGATTTCCTTTTATTACAGAGAGAGAGCGGTTCTCCATATTACAGGATCTATGCTTTTTTTAATCAAACTTCATGTTTAGATATGAAAAAGTCAAACATATTAAAGCTTAAACCTAGAGGAGTTTTAACGGCTTTGGTGGCTCCTAAGTTGGCGGAAGGCAGCGACCTCTGGTTCATCCGTTCTGCAGCCAGAATCGTCATTTATCACCAGCTGATAGATAGAATCTAACACTTTTCCAGCTCTACAACATAGAGCTAGATGCCCAGACTCTACTGAGCGAAGAGGAAGCCTGATGTGCAGAGGAGGAGTCATTTCTGTGGCTTCAGAGGCTCCTAGGATGGACAGATGTTTGCTGGAAGGATCGAATCTGAAAACATCTGCTGCCGTCAACACTTCAGCCATTTCTCCATTGTTTCTCCACTTGTGCGTTCTCGTGTCCTCGTGAAACATCATCATCCTCAGCCCTATTACTGTTCCAGTTCCTAAGAACAGCAGGCCGAGAACGGACAAAGTCCCCGGATGTTGTTACCCAGCATGCATCAGAGCAGACTTGTCCGTTCTGCAGACTGACAGCTGTCCCAGCATGCACTGCAGCAGCAGCAGCTTCCAGGTTAGTGCTCACAGAGCTCAGAGGATTAAGTTTAATTCTCTTTTCTGTTGCTGTTGTTCAATAAAAGTACGTTTTAATATAATTTGAGGAGAGAATATTATACTTTCAGTTTCACTATATGGACCATTTACTGATATAATGCGTAATAAAAAAAAAAAATTCTAAAGTTGAGAGGACCACGCCACGGCAACCAGGACCGAGGCTAACAGTGGCCAGGGCTAACGTTAGCCCGTCTGCAGTAGCCAGGGCTAACGTTAGCCCGTCTGCAGCAGCCCTCTCTCTGCATAGCTGTGTGTGAAGGACCGCTGGCTCTGATGGAGGTTTTGTTTTTTGTTGTCTTATTTGGCAAAATGTTCATTTGATTTGTGTTTATCTGACTGTGTTCATTATTATTCCCCCACTAAATGAAAAAACTTAGAATTTATTATTATCTAGAAACTATTAATAATAGGAGGTGAAATGCAGCTCCAGACGAGCTGAGCGTTTGGTGATGTCATCAGTACGCTTCTGTTCTAATTGACCCAGATTTATTCTGCGTGCTCCTGTTCTCCCAGAGTCCAGACTTTCCTGGGTCCTTTTAAGAACAGACTTGGCGAGGACACGAGTCCGTACTCGCATTCTTGTTAATTGAGACATGGCCTAGGTACTGCAGCTGGACTGGCTGAAGTCTACAACTGCTGCCGTGGGGGACAAAGACAATCCAACAGCAACGGACACCTTTAGATACGTCTGGAAACATCTGTAAAGCCTTTAGAAACTGAGATGTTGGGAACTGGAAGAAAGAATTGGAAGAACATCTGGTCTTCAGAGCTGATCTGAAACACGAGATCAAAAGTTTGTGTTTTTCAAAGGTGAACAAATTAAGCTGAAGCTATTCTATAAACTAAAGTCTAGTTTATGTGACAGGAAAGGGAGTGACGAGTGAGAAGACAAGCGCTGCATTCCTAACCAACACTCTGTGAGCCAAATGAGACAGACAAACAATGCATTTCTCTCATAACTTCTATGTCTTTATTTCTGGAACACGTCTGTCATCAGCTTGTCTGACAGAAAAGTCGGATCGGCGCGAGTCCAGACAGGCGGCAGGCAGAAGGCTTTATTGGTTTTCTGCCAAAAAAGCAGCAAAACGAATCACATTTATACCAAAACACATAATATCAAATAAAAAGTCCTTTCAAGTGTTGGTCACATCAGGCGGGGGGCGGGGTTTCAGAGCGGTGTGTTTTGAACCAGAAAGGATCTGATTCTCTGCAGGAGTTCTTTCTTCACGCCGTCCGGTACGAGCGCTGCAGGTGGAGACAGAACAAGCAGAGATCCATGATTATTCATGGTACCAAAACAGAACATCCTGATGGGCACAGTCACAGGATCATAGCTCTTTTAACCTCCAGATGTTCCTATCTGCCCCTAGGAGGCAAACAGCTCCCACAATCCTTTGCTTACAGGACGTATAGACGCAGCCTGCTTCACACAGTTTAACAATAAACCATTATTATTCTGTTCTCTGAGTGACTCATCCTGATGTTCTCACCTCCAGATGTTTGAGAGCTGCAGACAATCAACACATTCAGGGA